GCCCATTTTTTTATTTGCTTTATTTGTTGTTTCCTGGGGATCTGATATATTTAATTTAACAGTTGATCGTGCCACATTCCTGGTGGTTTGTCTCTTAAGGAAAATTGCCTGATCAATACTAGTTATCAACTTTCCTATACCATCCATGTTAAACTCTTTGCCCTCGATCGACCAGGGTGGCTGTTGGGTCGTGACGACCGTCGAGACCTTGATGAATGAAATATTGCATAAAACTTGTATTTATAAATTTGGAAATTGAATTCAATGGTAACGGATTAATATAAGTTTTGATTTGTTTCTGAAACCATAGCTGATATATATATGTATTTATGAATAAATATTATTTAAAGATGGGTTTCCTTATTTTTTGGTGTCAAATTGAGCAAACTATTTAATTAATTGGTGTTTCTAATGAATTATCATGTATTGTTAATCATATCATTATGTTCTTATTGTATATAATTAAGAGTTTTAACCAATCATAAATGTCTGAAAAAACAATAAAAAAGACTTTTTGACCTTTCTTGACCAGTCACTCAATGGAATTCTGTTGGTAATTTTCTTCTAATTTGGCTAATTATGTGAGACAAACTGGTATTTTTCCAAGTCATTAGAACACCTTTACTTTCTATTTATATAAGTATTAGCATTTTCATAAATAAAAATAAGGAATCCCATCTTTTCTAAACATTGAAAACTTATGCCCATTGAGATCACTCTTTGAGTGCTTAAGACGGCAGTGAATTATCTGTGGGAGTCTATTCCCAGAATAAAAATAGAGTGGTACTTTACAATCATTTTCAGTCAGATGTTGTTTTAGTACAGAGATTGTTGGAGTTAATTTTACATTCTTTGGTTGTTTATTCCATAGGTTAACTGCTAACGGTAGAAAAGAGTTTTCGTATTGGGTAGAATTTGTTGGAATTGTCTTTAATTCGTCTTGATTGCGGACGGGATATGGGTTGAATTCGGTAAAATGTTATTTAGATCCAGTGATTTAGGCACATATTTATTTAGGCACTATCTTTTTGAGCACACTAATATCCTGTATAATGTTATTTAACCACACATGGCCAGTGGCAGGGTGGGGGATGACCCCAAAATCCCAAGAATAAAGGCGAAAAATGAAAGAAAAAAATAATATTTAGAAAGGTGAACAGCTCCGAGCGTGGCAACGAGACATTATCCCATGGATTTCGAACTTTTTGAAACTTCTAGCCTGTTAGCTTTCAACTCCGGTGCTTTTAATCAGAAATTAAAACTTTTTGGTATATGATAAATAAATCAATTATATAATTTCACTCCAGAAATATCACATCAATATTCTCAATTTGTAAAAAATAATAGAACTAATTTATACCGCATCACAATAACCCTCTCAATTGACAAAAACAACAAACTTTGATAATCAAATCTGTCACCCGTGATAGGAATTTGATCATATTCCTTTTGTCGACGACTTCTCTCATCAAATTTTGTCGACGAGTTGACTTCTGTCGACATGCTGCTTGAAATTCATATACTGTATACTACAAACTGAAGATATTCTAATCTTCCATTAAAATTCATTAAATTGACTTACAGAGAAGTCTCAAAATGCAAGAGAGCATGTTAAGTTAAATTCCCGGGAAAGTGTCCCCACTAACAACCACTGACAGTCTTTATAAGGAAGAGTTTCCAAATTTTGGTGCAAGAAAGTGTAATTTATATCGTCTGCTAATTTAGGTTTATAAGAGATACTCTCCTGTTGAAACATTTGCATATTTCACAAGTATTAGAAATTAATCTGTACTGCGAGTTCAAATTAAGATAATATGCGAATTCACAGCTTTAAATAGAGATATTTTTCAAATTTGTGAGCAAAAATTTTTACAAAAAATAAAATAAATTTTATTAGTGTTGATAGAATACATTAGAAGAAGAAGAAGAAGAAGAAGAAGAGAAGAAGAAATGTTTATTAACGTGTCACACGATGAAATATACATAAAATAGAATTCATTAAAAAATACATATAAATTAATCATCGTCCGACCATATAGGTCTATGAGACATGATCTAATATCTAAAAACAGTACAAAATAAAATTAGTATAAAAATAAAATCTTATGAGACAATATAATTTAGTATTAAGTTCTATAATTATATGACATATAATAATTTATCCTAGAGAACATCTCGTATATATAACTGCTTATAGTTTTGGGGTTGACTAGATGACTAGTAGGGGGGTGGGGGGGGGGGGATTAAATTAAAGCACTCACCTTAAGCTGTACTGGAATGAACAAACACTCTAAGTCTTAATTGTAACAACAATGTTAAATTCAGAAAGTTGACTTGTTATATTGATATTGATATATTATATTATGTAATTCATGCAAGACTATTAAATGAGACTAGCGCTGAGACGAGAAACTGTTTAAAGATGGGTTTCCTTATTTTTTATTGTCAAATTAAGCAAACTAGGTTAATTGTTGTTTCTCATGAATTATCATGTATTGTTAATCATATCATTATGTTCTTATTGCATATAATTAAGAGTTTTAACCAATCATAAATGTGCATGTATGTACAGTCTGGATAAGCAAAAAAAGACTTTTTGACCTTTCCTGATCGGTCACTCGTTGGAATTCTGTTGGTAATTCTCTTCTAATTTAGCTAATTATGAATTAATTATGGACATGTGAGACAAACTGGTATTTTTCCAAGTCATTAGAACATCTCTACTTTCTATTCATATAAGTATTAGCATTTCCATAAATCAAAAAAAGGGAACTCATCTTTAACTGATGAGATTCATTTTGTCATCACATACATATATAAAAATACTGTATCAATTGCTTTTACATAATTCCCAATCATGGCTCTGCCACCTGTTGAATACTTTACGTCAGCCCGCGATACCCAGCATGATATTTGTTCAACAAGAATGCAACAAGACAGACAGCACATCACTGGCGATTTGGAAGTAAATCTTGCTCCGGCAAGTGCACAGTGCTTACATATTAACAGCAACTACTCCACTTCACTCCGTGGTTGCTGTAAATGTGTAAACACCCTAGCAGGCGAGCAACTACTTCACTTCGCCCCATAGCCCTATAAATCACCAGATGAACACAACTTTATTATAACAGTGGAGCCGCGTTTATCCGGTTGCCGATAATCCGGAAACCCCGATATCCGCACGTTTTTTACTGGAATATTTCCGGTCGCGTGTTACTGTGAGTTCTTGGCTTCCGGATTAGCAGTATTTTGATGTCGGTGATTGGTGTATAATAAATCCTCATTATGAGATTAAGCAATTAATTCAATCATCACGTGTAAGCTATCTTTCGTTCAATCATACCTGAATACCATTTATCGTTCAGTTATACCTCTTTTGTTCTGTCATACCTGAATTCTATTAATACGGAACGCATCAATCGAAGTTACGGCACGGAAATTTGTGTTCATAAATAAGCGAAACTGGCTTCCGGATTAGTATTATTCATGATGTCACGTTGATCGGTGTTTAATAAATCGTTATTTGAGAATATGTGGTTAATTTGACGATCACGATTTTATCGGGAACGGGAATGTGCGGATAAATGCAAGAACGACATATCATTAAATTTAGAAAATTCTGCTATCAAAAAAAAAAACACGCCGGTAACACATCAAAACAGTAGGAATTGCCAATTGTTCGTTCTTTAAATAGTTTATGTAAAAGTTGGCGCATGACTATTATGAACTTTCTCAAAGGGCTGCTTTTTTTGGACAACTCAAGATCTGTGTGGCATGAGGTATTCCAGAAAGGTTCAGTGTGCGTCAATATGTTTGGGCCGAAATTTCATCACACGATTGGAACATCAAAACTTCCGTCAGTAAACACGTCAACTCCTATTCGTCACAAATTGGTGCGTCAGTCAAGAAATTGTTAAATAAACTATGTCAACTCTCTTAAAAGACTGCCTTTGTAACTGACTCAATCGCAAAGTGGCCCCAAGTATTCCAAAAAGTTTAAGCATGCCTTTATAAGTTTAGTTTGAGTTTTGATCACACAAAATCCAATCAGTAAACACGTCAAAGAACTGGTCTTCGTCACACGTCAATACGTCAGTTCACACGTCAGACGCATTAAAGAGTTGAAAACACGTCAGACTCATCAAAGAGATGAAAACACGTCAGACTCATCAAAGAGATGAAAACACGCCAGACTCATCAAAGAGATGAAAACACGTCAGACTCATCAAAGAGATGAAAACACGTCAGACTCATCAAAGAGATGAAAACACGTCAGACTCATCAAAGAGATGAAAACACGCCAGACTCATCAAAGAGATGAAAACACGTCAGACTCATCAAAGAGATAAAAACACTTCAGACTCATCAAAGAACTATTTTTCCTCACAAGTCAGTTCTTCAGTAAAGAAAACTTAATCAAACTATGTGAACTCTCTTAAAAGACAGACTCAATCGCAAAGTGACATATGGTGTCCAAGAAAGTTTAAGGATGTCTAAAACGTTTGGGTCGAGTTTTGACCACACCTCAGTAGGTAAAAACTCAAGTCCGTCAGTAAACACGCCAAAGAACTGGTCTTCGTCATACGTCAGACGCGTCAAAGAAATGAATACACGTCAAAGAACCTCTATTCCTCACAAGTCAGTTCGTTGGTAAAGAAAAGTTAATCTGAACTCTCTTAAAATACTACACTTTTGACAGACTCAATCGCAATGTGACACTAAGGTGTTCCAGTGTGAGAATGCCTTAAAACGTTTAGGTCGAGTTTTAAACACACTCTAGTCCGTCAGTAAACACGTCAAAGAACTCGTCTTTGTTACACATCAATACGTCAGTACGCACGTCAGACTAGTCAAAGAAATAAAAACACGTCAGACGAGTCACAGAACTGTTATTCTTCAAAAGTAAGTAAAGAAAAGTTACAATAACTATATGAAATCTCTTAAAATACTATATTTTTGACAGACTCAATCGCAAAGTGGCCACAGGTGTTCCATAAAGGTTAAGCATGATTCAAATCATCTAGACCCGAGATCTCTTCATAGCACATCATTAAATCATCTAGACCCGAGATCTTTTTATAGCATATCATTAAATCATCTAGACCTGAGATCTCTTCATAGCACATCATTAAATCATCTAGACCTGAGATCTCTTCATAGCACATCATTAAATCATCTAGACCTGAGATCTCTTCATAGCACATCATTAAATCATCTAGACCCGAGATCTCTTCATAGCACATCATTAAATCATCTAGACCTGAGATCTTTTTATAGCACATCATTAAATCATCTAGACCCGAGATCTTTTCATAGCACATCATTAAATCATCTAGACCTGAGATCTCTTCATAGCACATCATTAAATCATCTAGACCTGAGATATCTTCATAGCACATCATTAAATCATCTAGACCTGAGATCTCTTCATAGCACATCATTAAATCATCTAGACCTGAGATCTCTTCATAGCACATCATTAAATCTCTAATTTCAATATTTTTTTTATAACATCTTAGTCAGGTCAAAAAATATTTACAAGTACACATTTCCCTAGAATTCAAACTCAGTGGAGAATTGATTTGCCTCTTCATATGAACTTTTATTCTTGCACATCAACATATGGACAACCGTTTCCTTACACAATACCATAAAACCATGAATAGGCCAACTAATTATAATACTAATAATACTTATAGACATGGTATTGTGACCAAAAACAAATTATGACAAAGAGACATATACAAATATATTTGACAGAAATAATTCTCATGTTTGTAAAGGTCTGTGATTAAAAATACAAAGCATTGTAACACAAGGAATAATTTATTATGGCTGAACATCTATATTGGATCCAGACCGAGACTGATACTTTCAGATTGGATCCAGACCGAGACTGATACTTTCAGATTGGATCTAGACAGCCACTGATACTTTCAGATTGGATCCAGACCGCCACTGATACTTTCAGATTGGATCCAGACCGCCACTGATACTTTCAGATTGGATCCAGACCGCCACTGATACTTTCAGATTGGATCTAGACAGCCACTGATACTTTCAGATTGGATCCAGACCGCCACTGATACTTTCAGATTGGATCCAGACCGCCACTGATACTTTCAGATTGGATCCAGACCGCCACTGATACTTTCAGATTGGAACCAGACCGCCACTGATACTTTCAGATTGGATCCAGACCGCCACTGATACTTTCAGATTGGATCCAGAACCGAGTTTCGTCTTTTACTGTACTCTTTCATATGATTCATAAGTCTTTTCAATTTTTGATTTGACCAGGATAAAAATATATTTATGAGTCATAAGGCCATTAGTTGTTAGTTAGTGAAATCGTTGGCAAAATCAAGGTCTTAAGATGCTATGAATTATTTTGAATCTCATTTGAAAGATTATAACTACCAATCAAGACACTTTAGTAAATTTTCAATTTCTTGTCTGATGTATTCTTCCTATATTAAAATAAACATGAAAATTGAAACCACATGTATTCTGATGTATGGTAACATTTGTCAATTCATTTAGTCTCGGTTTTCCATTGAAGTAAATGTAATTTTACTAGGTTTCCATATTTAAAAAAAATCTTAACTCTACATTTACACTATGTGTACATAAGAATAAAGCTAGGGAAGTCAAATCACTTCCCACATTTTCTCTTCAGAACACCAATTACCCACTCACCAACTAATCAAAGCAACATATACCATAAATATATACTTACCATTAAATGTCGTTTTCTAAGGGTATTCCTTACTTCAGGTAACTCTACATCTTATAATTGGAGAGAACAGATATGTACAAATACTCTACAGCTTGTAATCCCATTAATTTACAACCACAATTTGGGGGGTCGTGTTCCACTGTTCTTGATGTTGCAGTCAATAAAATTGAGCAAATTTAAATTTAGCTTTGTTTGTTACTTTGAAGAGTCGCGATCTGATGCAGGTTTCTAGAATATATGACGTTATTTCGTTTAAACGATTTAGTTATTTCGTCATAGCGAAATAACTAATTCGTTAAAACGAAATATTTTATAAAAGTACGAAAAATTGCGCCTAGAAGGCTACACACCTTCCGGTTTTTCCTAAAAGAAATTATATATATAATAATATGATATATAAGATGAAATTATTAGCTGTAACGGTTAATACATGCACTTGTTGTTAGTAGTCTCCATTCAACCGTAAACTGCACCACAGGTTTAGATGTCAAATCTAGCTATTACAGATTACTTGATAGCAACTCAAATAAACTTGCAAAACATTCTTATAATAATACTTAAGATTTATCATGCATAGCCTACATTGGTTTCATAAATTTCATCAACCTCGAGGTTTGTATCCATCGCTCTGCCTTTATGCTAAACCTTTATGGAACACATGTGACCAGTTTGTGATTGAGTCTGTCCAAAAGGCTCTTTTTATTTTTTTTTATTGACTGACGGACTTACTTTCTGGAAAACCTGAGGCCACTTTAGGATAGAATAAGGCATTTTCTTTAAAGGGATACTACGTCTTAGAATGAACATAAAATTGAAATTTTTTAAACTTGGCCAATAAGAGTTTATTATTATATTCATCAGTAGATATACCTGGTGTCATAAATAACATAACAGGATCCATATATAATCCGATAATCTAAAAAAAACTTAGAAATTATCCATAAATATGCAATTAACTATGGAAAAAGTTTTAATACTGAGATTGAGCGTTTTTCAATAATTACTTAGTTTAATGAATTTTCCAATTTTCCAGATTTGACAGGGATTCTGTTGTAAGTTTATGACACAGGTAAGTTCACAGATGAATATATACTCATATTAACCATTCTTGATAATTAAAATTTATGTTCATTCTAAGACGTAGTATCACTTTAAAGAGATTTCACATATATATTAACTTTTTCGGCGGAATGGCGATTGATGAAGACTCCTTTATTTTGACGCAGCTACAACTTTATCACTGGATCCACTTCGTGCTTTCTTGACAAACCCAACTATAAATCATTGATTCTTTTTCTCTTTGTTAGTTATAATTCTTAAATTTGTACAAATGACTAATTGAATTGAAAAGACTAAAAAATGACGATTTGATTTGCAAGTTTCTTGAAATTTCGTTTTTTGATGAAGTAGTTTTTATAAACATAAGTTATAAGTTTGTAAGGTAGCATCGACGTATTGACGTGTTTACGTGTTTGACATATATACTGACGTGTCTGGCGTGTTTTCTGACGTACTGACGTGTGACGGAGACGTTACTCACACATGTCGCTATTTTAGCCATTCACTCGTTAGTAGGAGAGTTGTTTATCAGCTTAAAATCAGACATAACACATAATTAGACAACATATGGAGGTTTATTCAGAGACAGGTATGTAATATAAACAATTGTTTTTTATCGACAGTTTGTATTGTTTTGGTAAATGTATAATATGTTTTACTATGTTATTGAGGAATGCGCATTATGTGTGGATTGTATAGAAACCTATTCATAGTACAATACACCATTAGTCAATTCATCACAGATATAAATGTAATATTGACAAATATTATTCTTTCTTTTCAGCTCACCAAAGTAATGATATAAGTTAATAGAATATGAGCACAACAATATGAAAATGGTTATTGATTACAATTTTACCAGTTACGTGGCAATTAAATCTACAGCTATAACCTAGACAGTTTTGATTTACCATTACTATTAATACCGAGTACAATAGAAAATGGAGTGATACTACAGAAGCCCTCCTAGGCAACGGTTTAACATCATTTATGTTTACCTTGACAACATCACGTAATGATTTAATGTATTATTTCTTGATTCAATATTGTAATTCAGTTTGATAAAAGATTTATTTACAACTATTTTATGTTAAAGCCTCTGTATTAAAAACATGGGAGTTATTCTTAAACACTAAAAAGCATAATTTTACTTACAGTGGGAATGGGTTTTTATCTGCGTCGACGTCTCTTATGCCAAAAGTTGCGAGTTTTGTTACAAAAAACAAGGACATTTCTTCTATAGCACAGGCCGCGCAGTGCATTTCAAAAACTGTCCAACAAAACAATGAATTGAAAGAATTGCGCAAAATTAGAGAACTCAGAAATAAAAGATTAGAAGCCAAACAAAAAGGAGATGGGTTTAAAATTTTAGGTAAAATTTTTCTTATCAAAAATGGCAAATAAAGTTAAACTGGAATCAATATATAATCAATATAAACCTATTGAGTATAGATTTAACAAGACAAAGGAGGATTACATCATCATATCTCCAACCGTTGATTCTAAATCCCAGATAAACGATGGAGATAGGGTAACGTTTGAAATCAATTCTTTATCCAATTGGCTACTCCTGTCTGACGCTTATTTCCGTTGTGATATTACGATTAAAGATGGAACTGCCCACCAAAACAGAATCCCACAACAGAATGTTACGTTAGAACACGAATTACTTTTACTACCAGGCGAACACAACTTTATTATTATCAAATCATTAAAAATTTCTAATAAAATAGCATACTCCCAAAACATATTTAGGCTCAGGAGACATTCAAAAATCTCTAAACTAAACTTCCAGGATTTCCTTGGGCTAAATATTCGGGCTAAAAACATCTCCCAGGGCATAACTACACTGGCCCAGGAATTAGATTTACGATTAGATTCAAGCGATATTCCCAAACCAGGAGAAGAACCTATTAACAGAATAGACCAAGCAGCGCGAAAACACGATGTTCTATACAGACTTAGAATCTAGACATAAGGATTTGAAATCTACAGTGTATATAACGAAGGTAAAGCCGTAGTTCTAACATACCGTCAGACGTTTGTCTTAGAGGTTATCTGAGAAGCGCATGCGCACCTTATCGCCATTTGCATCGCGCCTTCGACCGTGTAAGCACGGTCCGTCACATGGTCTGAAATAACTTAGTATTTTCAACCATTGTTTCCAAAGAAATAAATTTCTTTTGGATAGGAATTAATAACACCTTGTTAGAAAGGTTTGAAAACCTTTTGCCTCGTCAAAACTAGCCAGTCGTCGAAAATAATCGATCTGCTAGTCATTAGTCTCAGAGAGCAAATTTCAAAAGGGCAACTACGTCGCCAAGTGGTGATAAAAACCATGATGGTTTTGATTTTGCTGGACTGTTGTTTAATGACAATAAAGCCGACCATCGTCAGAAACGACATGTTAAACAGGACAAAAGTCGATTGATCAAAAAGTTCACACGAAATCGAATAATCCTTCGACTCAAGGTGATAAGCAGACGACAATTCGTCAAACAGATGCCAGTCCTTGTAATAAGGCTATAAATAGTAACACGAAGACTTCCACCATTACTAGCGCACAAGCTGACGTACTTGGTGCACGTAATTCAATCAATTTGGATAAGGCTGATAAACATACTCAGAGTCAAGAAATGCAGTTGATAAGAAAAGAGATGTTAGACTTGCATAAGAATTCATTTAATGAGATGACTTCTTTACAACAGCCGTCATCTAGTCGGACTTCTATATCAACATCCGGTTTTAAGCGTTCTCACAATCATGATATCAGTGAAGATTCTGGAGATGAGTGGCCCATGAGTAAACATTCTAGAATAATGCCCACAGAACGGGATGTCATAGATAAAATTGACGATCTTTTGGGTGATCAGAAAAGCCTTCAGTCTGCCCGCCATGTGCAGGAAAGTGACAACACAGGTATTGTCAATGTTCATAATGATGAGATGGAAGATGATATAGTTATTGAAGATCGTAGAAAACCAGAGGAGACGTGAAGCCCTTCAACCAGATCTGAATACAAGATTCAAACCGATTTGTAATCCAGGGGCCAATATTGGTTCATCAGAATATTTATTTGGAGGTGATCTGTCCAAGACAGTTAAAGATCTGAAAGATCTGTTCCTCGTTTGCGGGACATTATAATCCTTACATTCTCACCCAAATAATTTCAGAAGAGGTTACTCTAATAAAAATTCAGAGCATTTTTTAGGTTATTGCCGTTAGGCAATTACGACAGTGATCGAAAGAGCAACAGTTCCAAATTCAGGAAAATGGAGAAAGATACTTACAAGAAGCAAGCTTAGATGAAAATCCTGATTTATTCCCAGTAGGTAATATTATCCATTTTGTTAATGATTGGAATCCTTTTATTTCCACATTGAAACTAAAATTACCGAAAATTATCTCGAGCTTTAAAGCAGGTAAACTGTTAGCCTAATTATCAGGACAACGGATCCAATCATTGTCTTCTCTAGATATTCGAAATATCTCTGTGCATAAATCAAATCTTCGAATCAGGTTTGAAACAAACAAGGCCAGGTTATCAACAAGCTGAAATTAATATTAAATCATTTGATGATAGGTTGTGTATTGTTAAAGTATACAAAGAACTGTCGATTTACGTGCTGATTGCACACAGTTGTTATTAAGTTTTGTTCAACCTTATAAACCAGTTGGTTCACAAACTCTATCACGTTGGCTGAGAACCTTGATAAAATCAGCTGGCATTGATATGAATATATTTGTACCCTATTCAGTGAGATCAGCATCTTGTAGTGTAGAAAATAGGTCTAATGTTCCCGTCGAAAGTATTTTATCAACAGCTGGTTTGTCACGACAATCAAAATGTGCAAAATTTGATGATAAACCCTTAATAGAATATGGTACTTTTGGTGAAAGAGTACTGCAAAACATGGCAGAATGATTATATTTACATTGGTTTTATTAGTATTATACTATGTACTTGTGTTTTCAAGTCAGATATTTTAGAGAGTATATTATATACACATTATATATAAATATTATTTGTACCAATATTGTGTGTTCAGAATTAGATTAACCTAGTTCAAGAAATGACTATTTCCATATTATGCACAAGTGCCCAAAAGTTGTCATCTCAATCCTACTTACGTTGTTTTCACAGTACCACGAATTTCTGTCTGAATGTAGTCCAAAGGGAGGTAACTCAACTTTAACTTCAAATTTAAGTAATTCTGAAAGTTAGATAAAAGTTTAAAATGTAAGTCAAGCAGAGAGTATATAGGTCAAGAAAGGGGTAGATTTTGGGTACGCCCCCCCCCCACAGACGTCTGTGGTTCCTGCAATTCCACTCAAAGGGACATTCCGCTTAACATTCCGCTTAACGTCGTAATTTATACCTGAAATTATTTCTAAAGTATGCTATTTATATCTATGTAACTTCTTGATCAAACTGAATTTGTTTTAAAAGGGTTAATTAAAAATGGAGAGTACTAATTGTTAATTAAGCAGTTTGACCTAGATTCGGCGATTGGCATTATAATGGCTCGTTACATTTAGTTGAAATATTTAGAAAAACGTAAGAGGCAATTATTTCTCTACTGTTAGGTGTTTATTTTACTCAAATCCGAACAGTAGTTTACTAACAGCTTCCATAACGAACATTAAAAGGTAATGTAACCTTTAACGTAAATGTTTGGCGTTATAAAATTAACAGCTGGATTTTTTTGTTAAAACTTTAAGAAACTTTATGGGATACCTTCCATAGATTTTTGTTTATAGTGAGGGCCACTGGACTTAAGTGGGCGAGGGCCTTTGATCCTAAGTTGGCGAGGGCCTTTGGACTTAAGTGAGTTAGCGCCCGTTGACTTGAGTGGGTGAGGGCCCGTGGTCCTAAGCGGTTTAGGGTCCGTGGGCCTAAGTGGGTGAGGGCCCTTGGACTTAAGTTAGTGAGGGCCTGTCGACCTAAGTAGGGTAAGACCTAGAGTGAAACCTAGAGTTTGTCCTAGGTTAGCCCTAGAGCCTAGGGATAGGCCAAAGGTAAGGCCTAGAGTCAATCCTATGTTAGGGTAAGACCTAGGGAAAGACCTAGTTTAAGGCTTAGGGTAAGGCCTAGGTTAAGGCCTAGAGTTAAACTTAGAGTTTGTTCTAGGTTAGGGTAAGACCTAGGGTAAGACCTAGGTTAAGGCCTAGGTTAAATCAAGAGTAAGGCTTAGAGTTAAACCTAGAGTTAGCCTAGGTTAGGATTAGATCTAGAGTAAGATCTAGGGTAAGGCCTAGTGTAAGACCTAGGTTAAGGCTTAGTGTAAGACCCATTTTAAGGCCTAGAGTAGGGCCTAGCTTTAGGCTTAGAGTTAAACATAGAGTTAGTCCTAGGTTTGTGTAAGACTTAGGGTAAGACCTAGAGTAAGACCTAGGGCAAGGCCTAGGTTAAGGCTAGAGCTAAACCTAGAGTTAGGCCTAGGTTATAGTTAGATCTAGGGTAAGACCTAGGGTAAGGCCTAGAGTTAAACCTAGAGTTAGTGCTAGGTTAGGGAAACCCTAAGGTTTGACCTAGGGTAAGGCCTAGGGTAAGGCCTAGAGTTAAACATAGAGTTAGGCCTAGGTTAGGTATATATAATATATAATTGGAATTACGAAAGCACAGAAAATTCAGATCAATCAACGACAAAATAAAGTAATAATAATAAAATAATAAAAACCTTAGAATATCAGATAAAATCCAAAAGTATGAAAAGGTTACTGGAGATCATAGTTTTTTATTTCGGTAACCAACATCCTATAAATCAAAAATATAAGGAGAAATATAAAACGATTAAATCGGAAGGAGCATCTGTAAATATTTATTAACTCGAATCTAAAATAAAAATAAAAAGCTCTACGTTGTTATGGCTTTTAATCTTCCGTGGACTAAAATGTCATTCAAATTCTTATTACGTTTAAATGGAATAACTAATTTTTTTTTGAATATATCAGGGAAATGTTGTTGTAGTTCCTTATACAGTTCTTTGACGATTGGTATGGCTGGGCAAGCTGTACTACTGAAAAGCATAACAAAAGGAATTATTTGATAATCTACCTGGACGTTAAGACCGTTTGGCTGCATTGTATTTAATGTATTTATCCAGAAATTTTCTCGAAGAAGTCTGTAGGTTCTTGTTGGGATATCGTCTTGTTCGTGTATTTTTTCAATAGGGGTAACCCGGAAATTATTTATTCTGTGGTCCCACTGGTTAAAAATGTTTCGCCACCGATTTGTCGAGATTGTGATTAATATCAAATCTATGGCCATTGAATCGTGTTCTTAAATTATTTTTAGTTTCCCCAATGTATTGTTTTTGACAGATTGTACATGAAATAAGGTAGATAATGTTGCTGCTGTTGCATGAAAGGTTTTCTGTTATTGGAAATTTGGCATTGTTTAAGGTGTTGATGAAAAAACGAGTTGAATTAAAGAATAGACAGGTCAAGCAAGATGTTTTGGAACAGGGTTTAGACTTTATAGGCCTAGGTTACGGTAAGACCTAGGGTAAGACCTATGGTAAGACCTAGTGTAAGGAGTAGGGTAAGACCTAGGGTTAGGCCTAGGTTTGGGTAAGGCCTAGGTTAAAGCCTAGGCTAGGGTAAGACCTAGGGTAAGACCTATGGTAAGACCTAGTGTAAGGACTAGGGTAAGACCTAGGGTAAGGCCTAGGTTTGGGTAAGGCCTAGGTTAAAGCCTAGAGTTAAACCTAGAGTTAGGCCTAGGTTTGGGTAAGACCTAGGGTAAGGCCTAGAGTTAAACCTAGAGTTAGGCCTAGGTTAGGGTTAGATCTAGGGTAAGACCTAGGTTAAGGTCTAGGTTAAGACCTAGTTAAACCTAGAGTAAGGCTTAGTTTAAGACCTAGGTTAAGGCCTAGGGTTAGGGCCTAGAGTTAGTCCTATGTTAGGGTAAGACTTAGGGTTAGATCTAGGGTAAGACCTAGGGTAAGGCCTAGAGTTAAACCTAGAGTTAGTCATAGGTTAAGGTAAGACCTAAGGTTTGACCTAGGGTAAGGCCTAGGGTAAGGCCTAGAGTAAAAGCTAGATTTAGGCCTAGGTTAGGGTAAGACCTAGGGTAAGACCTAGTGTAAGACCTACAGTAAGACCTAGAGTAAGACCTAGGGTAAGGCCTAGGGTAAGGCCTATGGTTAGGCCTAGAGTTAAACCTAGAGTTAGTTCTAGGTTTGAGTAAGACCTAGGCTAAGACCTAGAGTAAGTCCTAGGGTAAGGCCTAGGGTAAGGCTTAGAGTTAAACCTAGGGTAAGGGTAAGTCCTAGGGTTAAGCCTAGAGTTTAACCTAGAGTTAGTCCTATGTTAGGGTAAGACCTAAGGTTTGACTAGGGTAAGACCTAGGGTAAGACCTAGGTTTGGGTCAGGCATAGATTAAAGCCTAAAGTTAAACCTAGATTTAGGCCTAGGTTTGGGTAAGAGCTAGGGTAAGACCTAGGTTAAGGCCTAGGGTAAGACCTAGAGTAAGACCTAGGTTGAGGCCTAGAGTTAGCCTAGGTAAGGGTAAGTTCTAGGGTAAGTCCTAGGTTAGGGTAAAGCTTAGAGTAAGACCTAGGGTAAGACCTAGGGTAAGGCGTAGTGTAAGGCATAGAGTTATACTTACATTATATAATAGTCCAGATTATCACATTTTGAAATGCACGTAACAAAGTCTGGCTTGATGTTCATGTCTATTATGATTGATTTGACGTAAAAAGAATACAGTCCTCTTTATTTCAATATAAGCCATGTTTCTTTCTCTCCAACGAATCTGCTAAAATTATACACCTTACAGCTAGAACCATTACATGACAGATTGTCGCCAGATCTCCCACATGGTCCGACGAGACGGATAAGCCAGGAATTTAGAATAGAAGTTTTAGAGATTCATTTGGAAGGGAAATTTCCAACCAGTAGCCACGAGATCGACCATTGACCTTCACCCATTAGCTGAGCGCAGTGTAAAAACATTATTACCTTAACCTCTTAAAATCCGACCAGTATTTAAAAGAAAATGGCGGATTTGGCCAAAAAGAGACAGATTAGGGGTGGACATAGAGCGTCAACCAAACCTAACCTTGGCCTAGAGTTAAGCCTCGGGTTAGGCCTAGGGTTTGGCCTAGGGTATGGCCTAGGATTAGGGTTGGGGTTAGGGCTAGGATTAGAGTTAAGCCTAGGGTAGTGGTTTTATGGTTAGGCCTAGGGTAAGGCCTAGGTTAAGTCATAGAGTAAGACCTAGGGTTTCAGGGTTAGGGTTTAAGAGGTTAGGGTTAGGGGTAAGTGTAGGCCTAGGGTTAGGTATAGGGTAAGGCATAGGGTAAGGCCTTGGGTTTTAGGGTTAGTGTTAGGTGTAAAAGTAGACCACCACATACCCTTACCACCTTAGGGTCATGTTATTACAAACACTTACCAATCTAGGTTCATTGCACAACAAGCACTTACCACCCTAGCGTCATGAGATCACTTCATCTTACCACCCGAAGTTCATAATATCACAAACCCTTACCATCCTATGTCCCAATGACCACATACCCTTACAACCCAAGGTTCATGAAACCACATACCCTTACCACCTTAGGGCCATAATATCACACACCCTTACCACCCTAGGTGCATAATATCACAAACCCTTACCATCCTATGTTCCAATGACCATATACCCTTACCACCCTAGGCTCATGAGACTACAATCACTTACCATCCTAGGTCCATAATATCATAATAGCACAAGCCCTTACCACCCTAGGGTCATAAGCTCTTACTGCCCGTGAGATTAGATAACTTTACCTCCCATAAAAGGTACATAAAATCACAAAGCCTTACCACCGTAGGGTCATGATCTTACAAACACTTACCACCCTAGGGTCATGGGATAACAAGCACTTACCACCTTTTGACCCTAGAGTGGTAAGAGCATGTGATCATATGACCCTAGCATGGTAAGGGTATGTGGGCTTATGAACCTAGGGTGTCAAGGGTTTGGGATATTATGACCCTATGATTTTAAGGTTATGTGATCTCATGACCCTAGAGTTGTAAGGGCTTAAAATCTCATGACCCTAGAGTTGTAAGGGCTTGTAATCTCATGACCCTAGAGTTGTAAGGGCTTAAAATCTCATGACCCTAGAGTTGTAAGGGCTTAAAATCTCATGACCCTAGAGTTGTAAGGGCTTAAAATCTCATGACCCTAGAGTTGTAAGGGCTTAAAATCTCATGACCCTAGAGTTGTAAGGGCTTGTAATCTCATGACCCTATGGTGGTAAGTGTGTAATAACAAAACCATAAGGTACGTGATGTACATTTATGGTATATCATGACCCTAGGGTGGTAAGGGCTTGTGATGTTATGATCATAGGGTGGTAAGGCTTGTGATCTCATGACCCTATGGTGGTAAGTTTATGTGATCTCATGAACCTAAGGTGCGGAGGCTGTGTGATCTCATGGCCCTGAGGTGACAAGGGCGTGTGATATTATGTTACTAGGGTGGTAAGAGCTTGTGATCTCGTGACAATAGGTTAGCAAGGTCTTGTAATATCATGACCCTAGGGTGGTAAGGTCTCGTAATATCATTTCCCTATGGTGGTAAGAGTTAATGATATTATGACACTAGGATGGTAAGGGTTTGTCATATATTGACACTAGGATAGCAATGTCAGATGATAAATGTTTACTGAAAAAAAGAATTTTTGAATATAATTTTCAGCTTAAGTTCTTAAATATATCAAATAATAAAATATTTTTTTTAAATTCAACTGCAACATCTCAAAATCCAACAGTTAAAAAATGTTGCTCTTTTGGCCCCACCTAAAATAATGTGATGCAGGAAGGGAAGTTACTCTAACTTCTCTGAACATTTTTATCTCCCCTACTGAATCATGTTTACCTATGGTCCATTTTAAATATCACCAGGGAGAAAATAAGATTGCCATATCTCATTCCTAAATGAAAGAATTATTGTTTATTTTTTTATTATAAGTCTCACAATATTTTTGATAAAATTTTTTTTAAATCATTTTATTTTGATTTATTGTATATCATTATTATTTAAATTTTGAAACAGACTATAAATATTGAAGGGGAAAGGGAGATAATTGCAATTTAGAAAAATACAGAACTCTGTTTTCCACACAGAAACACATCAGGTATTTCATCCTAAGTAAAATTAAAATTCTTACCATGAATGAACTATTTCACAAAGCAGAACCTCATTTCAAATGACTTAACTTGTCATTTATTATAAGTGTTTGTCTTTCTTGCATAGCATGTTTACTGCAGTTCTAAATAGAAAACAGCGCTCCTTGCACAGGAAGCACATAAATTTAGTTGTCTTCTCTTGACACCCACTTTGTGCAGTGATCAAGGTCAACTGACATTGCTAACTAGGATGATAAGTTTATGTTGTCTCGTCAACCTAGCGTGGTAAAGTTATGTGATCTCATGACCCAATTGTGGTAAGGGATTGTGATGTCACCACTGTGGTATTGTTAGAAGATACCCTTTCCCTTGGAGCCGCCACTGTGGTATTGTTAGAAGATACCCTTCCCCATGGAGCCGCCACTGTGGTATTGTTAGAAGATACCCTTCCCCATGGAGCCGACACTGTGGTTTTGTTAGAAGATACCCTTTCCCATGGAGCCGACACTGTGGTTTTGTTAGAAGATACCCTTTCCCATGGAGCCGACACTGTGGTTTTGTTAGAAGATACCCTTTCCCATGGGGCCGCCACTGTGGTATTGTTAGAAGATACCCTTTCCCATGGGGCCGCCACTGTGGTATTGTTAGAAGATACCCTTCCCCATGGAGCCGACACTGTGGTATTGTTAGAAGATACCCTTTCCCATGGGGCCGCCACTGTGGTATTGTTAGAAGATACCCTTCCCCATGGAGCCGCCACTGTGGTATTATTAGAAGATACCCTTCACCTACTCCTAGTCCAGCAGACATAGATAAACGTTCTCGTAGAGAGGGCACTCGCTACCAGACCCTTTTATCACCAAACCAAGGACAAATCATTATGGAATATTTATTGAATAGCATATACATATAAAAATTGGTTAGTTTATGTGACAAAAGCTTTTCAACGAAAAGTCATAGATGGTAGAATTTCGTGTTTGGCACGGAAAGAAATCATTTTTGAAGTGATTGGAGTAAGTCCATATACCGCCATATATAATCATAATAACCATCATAGAAATTGATCTTAACAGCTCCCGGATATATTGAACGACAGACGGAGGTCGGCTACCGGATAAAGATCCAAATTATATATAGCTCAATTTATTAAAACACATTATTTTATTACATTACATTACATTACATTTAAGTCAGTTGGATTTCTACAAGCTCCATTACATTACATTACATTACATTACATCACATTATATTTAAGTCAGTTGGATTTCTACAAGCTCCATTACTATACCAATCCTGAACATTAGAGTAACTATTCCTGTATTTATCCGGATTGTTAACCATCTTACACATTTGACAAAATGGTTCTACCACGTTATATGGTGTACCTCCAGTGAGAACGTAATTTTCTTTGGCTTTCAAATATTCTATATAAGCTGTATCGTTTCTATCTAAATATTGAATATATTTGGCTAAATCAGAAATTGATTTAAAATCTCTCACATCTATGTAGGAATTATTGGGGTAGAAATGTTGGTAATTACCGTCACCTCTCACTATAGGAACAATACTACTGTTTTGCCTGATAAAGAATTTTTCAGTGACATAATCACGACACAAAGAATTTTCAAAAGCTAAATAAAACTTATATGATTTTTCAATGTTTTGAAACAAATGTTTATCTCGACTCCTTTGCTTCTCGGGTCCACATCGCCCGTAAACCGTTACTGATATATATTTTTGTAATGATTTAACGTATCGTTCACGTAAACTTGGCGTTGAACAATGGCTTACTACTTGTGTTGCTAATTTTGTTTTCTCTGCCATAATTTTTGTGTAATTTTTTGATTGTCCACTAATTTTCTTGACAATACCATAAGGTGCTGGAATATCTGAGTCAAGTCGGTAAGTCATAGTCCAATTTATCTTGTCTTTTAATATTGCGTTATTAAATTCTTGTGAATAAGAAAAGATTGGAGATTCAAACACGGCAAATATCCAAATCTGTCCATTTTTAGGTTTTCTTGTCAACAATCTGGAAGAGTATCCCACTGCATATAAAATAACAGCATCACTGTCATTGACGTATTTAAATGGTTCTTTATAATGAAATCGACATGTCGATATTTCACATTTATCAAACATATTTGGTATTAGTTTATCTGGCCACCAGTAAGGACTATTCAGGATAACTATTGTTTTATTTTTCACTGGAATATCCTGCTTGATAATTCTAGAGTATTTTAAACTGTCTGTACTAGAATTGCTAACAGATATTTGACTATAGTTTGTCATTTGATAAACGAATTGATGTAGTTTGGTGATGTGTGGTTGTATAATTTCTGTTTCTTTTAAATAGAATAGAATAATCAAACCAACAGATATAGTGACCACCATGAGCAGTTTCTTGTAGTTATCCATCTGAAAATAACAAATACAATTATTAACTAGAACGTGGCAACGAGACCATGAACCATGGCCTTTGAACCTTTTGATATTTGTAGACTGTTAGCTTTCAACATTTTCACACGATTTTACTGAGTCAAATTCGAACATGA